CCCCCTCTCTTGTGGAGATCTATTCGATGTAATCTTCTTTTTGCGGTGTGTTTGTTGAGACCGATGAATTGTGGGTTTATGATCAAGATTATCTATGATCAATATTTGAATATTCTCTGAATTCTTTTATGTATGATTGGTTATCTTTGCAAGTCTCTTTGAATTATCAGTTTGGTTTAGCCTACTAGATTTATCTTTCTTGCAATGGGAGAAGTGCTTAGCTTTGGGTTCAATCTTGCGGTGTCCTTTCCCAGTGACAGTAGGGGCAGCAAGGCACGTATTGTATTGTTTCCATCGAGGATAACAAGATGTTTTTTTTATCATATTGCATGAATTTGTCCCTCTACATCATGTCATCTTGCTTAAGGCGTTACTCTGTTTTCATTAACTTAATACTCTAGATGCATGCTGGATAGCGGTCGATGAGTGGAGTAATAGTAGTAGATGCAGGTAGGAGTCGGTCTACTTGTCTCGGACGTGATTCCTATATACATGATCATACCTAGATATTCTCATAACTATGCTCAATTCTGTCAATTGCTCAACAGTAATTCGTTCACCCACCGTAAAATACTTATGCTCTTGAGAGAAGCCACTAGTGAAACCTATGGCCCCCGGGTCTATCTTCATCATATTAATATTTCAATACTTAGTTATTTCCTTTGCTTTTTTACTTTGCTTTTATTTTACTTTGCATCTTTATCAAAAAAATACCAAAAATATTATCCTATCATATCTATCAGATCTCACTCTCGTAAGTGACCGTGAAGGGATTGACAACCCCTTATCACGTTGGTTGCGATGAGTTATTTGTTTTGTGCGGGTACGAGGGACTCGCGCGTAGCCTCCTACTGGATTGATACCTTAGTTCTTAAAAACTGAGGGAAATACTTACACTACTTTGCTGCATCATCCTTTCCTCTTCAAGGAAATCCAACGCAATGCTCAAGAGGTAGCAGTAGTCATGTCCTCATCCGAGGTGGTTCTCTTAGGTACCAAGGTCTGAACACCTCGATCACTATAGTTGCAAACATGACCATGGAAAACCTGACCATGACATCTCGTGCTCTCAGACATCCGTAGGTACTCGTCACATGAATCAGCGGCCGTTCCATATGCAAGCATCCGGAGTGTGGCCGTGCACTTCTAGTAACTGGCGAACCCAATCGTTCCCACGGCGTCCTTCTTCAGGATGAAGTAGTCATCACAGGACCAGACGCCATGGTACAAACGGTCGAAGACAGTCTTGCACATCCTAAAAGGCCAGCGAAAATGGTCAGCGAAGAGCCGAAGAGTGCGTCGGGGGCAAAGTAGTCGGCCATCGGTGTCAAAATGGCCACGCTCTCTGTTGCGGTTGAGCACTCGATGACCCTTTATCGAGCCCTTGAAACTAAGAACATACTCTTCTGCATGCTCCGCGTCTTTAAGGACCGCCTGCATCATCACCGTCTCATCCAAGTACTCCTCCTCGTCCGATGAGCCGTCAGACGACTCAACATACTGTTCGTATATGTACTCCAAATCGAAATCCATTGCTAGAAAGAAGGGAAAACTATTTTTAGCTCCAATGATTCATCGAACAGTTGCCGAGCATGGTGAGTATAACAGTAGCGGATGGTACCTGGCGGGGCGGTCAGAGAATAGAGGTTGAACAACGACGGAGGAGAAGCGGGGTGGAACCCTGCTGAAACGCTGGAGGTGAAGAAGACGTAGAGTTTCGGTAGAGGTGTGGCGTGGTGGCCGGGGTAGTGAAGCGGCGGCGAAGGCAAGAGAGAAAGAAGGAAGAAGAGAAAACAAGAAGGATGAAGCCGCGTGGTCCGAGAAGGGTTTTGGGTGGGCCGGGGGTGTTGGAGTCCTATGTGTTTGGTGTCCGGACTCCCGCAAAGCTTCCCATGTTTGTCGACGGTTTAGGAGAAAACACGTCCGGACCGCGACGCGGACCAATACATACCGGCGTTAGATGACTTCACTGGTCTATACAATGCGGTTTGGACGGATGTGGGTGGTTTGCGGGTCCGCTTTGAAGATGCTCTAACTATCCAATCACAGATTCGTTCGCATTACAAAATTTAAGAAGGTGTTCTTCGTACTACTTTGACCGTTGATGAATAGAGTGGATTTTTTAAAAAAAGAATAACAATTAAAAAGAAAGATGATGATCAGCATCAGACTCAGAGCATCTCCAACAGCTGCGCCAAACTAGCGCCGTGCCGCAAAATTGCCCGTTTTAGCGCGCGCGCAACTGGTATAGTTGCTCCAGCGGGCGCGCAAAAACAGTGCATGCGGCATATGTAGTTCAGCGCGCGGGCCGAAACTCAATCACGCATCGCTTATTTGCCGCGCCCGCTCCCGCGCGCCAGACTCTCGCGCGCTCGCTCGCAACTCCCACCCCCATCCAGCCGCGCCGCCGCCGCCGACCGCGCCACCCGACGACCGTTCCGGCGCTTCCCCGGCCTATCCCCGCCCCGCCGCGGCTTCTCCAGCCCCCCTCTAGTCCCGGCGCCCCTCGCGTGCGTCCGTCCTCCGACGAACAGTGCCCGCGCGCTTGCTGCCGCTCGGCGCCCGCAAGGTGTTCGACAAAACGCCAAGAAGGTATGTATTGCTCAAAAGTCATGAATTTCGTGCATGTTGATTGTAGTTTTTATATCATAGTATTGAACATTGTAGATGAGTTCATCGTATGATTCTTCTTAAGAAGAATTTAATATGGAAGAGGAGGAGGATCTTGCAATGATCCTAGCTATGCATATCAATAAAAAACCGAAGCATGGTTGTTCGGTTATGGTCGGCAGAAAATTTGGAGGGATATGATCGATGCCCACAACAAATTGATCAGACATTATTTTGCGGAGAATCCCACATACCCCGAGTCGTATTTTCATCGCCGGTTTAGGATGAGCACCGAGTTGTTCAGGCGCATTGCAGAGAAACTAGCGAGCCATGACCGCTTTTTTCAGCAAAGGAGGAATGTCGCCAGAGAGCTTGGGCATAGCACCTTTCAGAAGGTGACAGCCGCTTTGCGTATGTTGGCATACGGTATACCGGCTGACCTAGTTGATGATCACTTGGCTATGGGTGAGAGCCAAGCCATCATGTGTGTCAAGCGCTTCGCAGTCGGAATTGTGCAAGTGTTTGGCGAGGAGTATTTGAGATCTCCCAATGCTGAAGACGCCTCAAGGCTATTGGCGATGAACAAAGCTCGCAGCTTTCCTGGCATGCTTGGCTCAATAGATTGCATGCATTGGAGTTGGAAGAATTGTCCAAAGGCATGGCATGGGCAATTCCACGGCCAAAAAAAGGGTTCCACTATAATCCTTGAAGCGGTGGCCGATCAAGAGACTTGGATTTGGCATGCATTCTTTGGAATGCCTGGATCTTTGAACGACATCAATGTTGTCAACCGGTCACCACTGATGAATAAGATTGCAAATCGTGAGTTGCCACCGGTGCAGTTTGTAGCAAATGGCCGTACATACAACTATGGCTATTATCTAGCGGATGGCATCTATCCAAAGTGGCAAACCTTTGTCAAGCCGTTGAAAAAGCCAGAAGGTAAGAAAAATCTTGATTTCCACAATGCTCAGGCGGCGGCTAGAAAAGATATGGAGGGAGCTTTTGGGATTTTGCAAGCCCAATTTGCTATTGTGAGAGGACCGGCTAGATTTTGGGATCAGAAAATGCTTTGGTACATCATGCACGCTTGTGTGATCATGCATAACATGATCATCGAGAATGAGCGTGGCCAAGATGTAGACTACTCTCAGTATGAGCTCTTGGGACATCCCGTGCAAGTGCGACGGAGGACTGAAAGGGTGGCCCATTTTGTTGCCTCCTATCATGCCATTCGACGTCCCGCAGCGTATAATGATCTTCAGAAGGATCTAATTGAGGAGTGGTGGGCATGGAATGAACGACAAAGAGTATCATGATTTATGTGTTCGATATTGTATTGATAAACTATTTGTTATGTTTATTGCACTATTTGTTGTATTAAACAATAAACTGTTTGTTTGAGTTGTAATAATGAAATTGAACTATTTATTTTGATTTATTTTTGTTTGTGTTTGATCTTTTTGCTTCTGTTTTGGAATGCATATGTTGTTTGTGCGACAGTCGCGCACGCTGCTTTTTAACGCGGCTGCTGGAGCCAGCACTACGCGCCGCGCCAAACCAGGCGACCGGCGCGCGGCAAAGCAGTTTTTTGCGCGCGGCGCGTTCGGCGCCTGTTGGAGATGCTCTCACGAGTCATGCATGCGAACTCTTCTATTTAGCATGCAGATCTCTTCTTCTGTGCTTTGTTCTGAATTCTCGCACCTGCCCGTCGCCATGCCGTCGTCCATATACGCCGCACCACAGGCAAGCGCAAGCAACGGCGTTGGCAATGGCGACGGCAAGCCACACGTGCTTGTTGTCCCTTACCCGGCGCATGGTCACATGCTGCCTCTCCTCGACCTCGCGGCGCTGCTCACCGCACGGGGCCTCGCGCTCACCGTCGCCGTCACGGCAGGCAACGTCCCGCTCCTCGCGACATTCCTCGCAGCGTTCCCGTCAGTCGCCACCGTCGTTCTGCCTTTCCCTTCCTCGCCGTTCCTCCCGGCCGGGTGCGGCGAGAACACCAAGGACCTCCCGGCCGATCTCTTCCGCCCGTTCATGGCCTCCCTGGCGGCCCTCTCCGCGCCTCTCCTCTCCTGGTGCAAGTCCCAGCCCCGCGGCGTGACGGCCATCGTCTCCGACCTGTTCATGGGGTGGACACTCCCGCTCATCGAGGAGCTCGGCGTGCCGCACGTGGCCTTCTCGTGTGCCAACGTTCACTACCTCGCCACGACGCACTCCCTCTGGTGACGCATGCCGACGAGGCTCCGCCTCGACGACGCCGACGAGACTGTCACCTTCTCGGAGGCGCCCGGCTCGTCTAGCTTCCCTTGGCGCAGCCTGCCGTGGATGTTCAGGGTGCATGTGCCCGGCGACGAGGTGTCAGAGACGATCCGGCGGATCTTCCTATGGAATATAGAGAGCTCGTGCTTCATGGCAAACTCGTTCGTGACGCTCGAGGCGGCCTACGTGGAGCGCCCGCTCCCCGACCTGATGGCGAAGTGGGTGTTCGCGGTGGGCGCGCTGTCGGACGACGTGCGCAACTGCGACGAACATGGCGGGAAGCCAGCGATGGCCCCGGCGAAGGTGACCGCGTGGCTGGACGGGTTCGACGACGGCTCCGTCGTGTACGTCTGCTTCGGGTCGCAGCAGGCGCTGTCACCGGCGCAGGCGGCGTGAGTGGCCGGCGCTCTAGCGCTGGCTCGGTGGCTTTCGTCTGGGCGGTGAGGAGCGGCACCGTCGTGCCGGAGGGGTTCGAGGCCGCAGCCACGGCGGCGTCACGGGGCATGGCAATCCGCGGGTGGGCGCCGCAAGTGGAGATCCTGTGCCACCGCGCCGTGGGGTGGTTCCTCACGCACTGCGGGTGGAACTCGGTGCTCGAGGCGACCGCGGCCGGCGTGGCAATGCTCACGTGGCCGATGGGCGCCGACCAGTTCATCAACGCGTCGGTGCTTGCGGAGGCAGGCGTGGCGGTGCCGGTGGCAGAGGGCGCCGACGCCGTGCCAGACGCTGGAAAGATGGCGAGCGTCATCGCTGCAGCTGTCGCAAAGGAGGGGGAGTCCGTGAGAAAGCGTGCGGTGGAGCTCGGCCGGAAGGCGGCCACCGTGGTGGCGGAGGGCGGAACCTCGCACATTGATTTGGAAGAGTTGGTGCGTGTGCTCAGTGACGTCGACTACTACCTCCGTTCCTAAATATTTGTCTTTCTAGAGGTTTCAAATGGTGACTACATGCGGAGCAAAATGAGTGAATCTACAGTTCTACACTCTAAAATATATCCATATACATCCATATGTGATGACCATTTGAAATCTCTAGAAAGACAAATATTTAGAAACGGAGGGAGTAGTATTTATATTCCTTGTATTTTTTTGAACTTATATTCCTTGTATTTTCATTTCATTGTAGATGATGAATGTGTTTTTCTGGGACCGTCTATCCATAAGATACCTGAAAATAAATTTGCATCTTGGTCCTGCCAGCCATCTGGATCGGGGATGAACGGCCACATCTCCTTCCTCCTCCAACCGCATGTTCACCTTGTTCCTTCAATCGTGCAGCCTCCCTCCGATCCAGCCCTAACCGTCCGCCTCCGCCACCCGTGGCCGGCGGCTATCGCCACCCTGCCCTCCCCTCGACCTCCCCCCACCGCCGTGTCCGCCACCCTGGCCGTCCCTCTAAGCCTCACCGCACCAGTGAACAACTCCCACGATCCCCTGTGTTGGGTTTAGTCCCACATCGATTGTGGGAGAAGGAAGAACACGATTTATAAGGGCAGGGTATCCCCTCCTAACAGGCTAGTCTTTTGGGGGGAGAGGACCCAAGGCTTCTCATAAGTCGGTGTTGCTCTCCGGTTGGCCCTGGTTGACGCATGTGGGTCGGAACGCTTGTGATAGCGGACTCGGGATTGCGTAACAAGTGGTATCAGAGCAAGGTTCGATTTGAGGTTGCCGAAATTGATTTAGAGGTGATCCAGTTGGCGCAGCAGCGCGATACTCGGCAAGATCGGAAACAGCATTGGTGGCGTGTAGCGGCGGCTGGTATCGCGCTGGAGACGAGGACCAGCAGCGCTAGGGCATGCGGCGACTGAGTGCATCGTTGCATGATGGGCTGGTGGCTCCGTGCGGCATGTGGGCGAGAGGCCCAAGCGTGCCTAGCCTAAGGCCCAGGTGCAGCCAAGGCCTGAGGAGCCGAATGGCTGAAGAAGGCCTGGTGTGCAAGCGTGGCATGCGTGCGTTTGCCGGGATTGAGATGTGCGTTGCTATGCTCAAGGATGGTCAGATGTGAGATTTCTTTGGTTTAAAAAAAGAGGAGTTGCTAGGTCCAACGCATGTGCACAGGAGTAGTTGGGATGGATCATTCCGATCTGATTTTCTGCTGGGTGCATAGAGAAGTTAATATATCAAACATGGGTAAGATAATTTGCAAACATGGGATTTGTCTGTTCAAGTTTGCATGGAAGTTTTGCTAGGTTGGTTTGATCAGATGGTTTGGAGCGTGTGGACAAGCAACGGAGCGCGCAGACAAGTGTGTCGTCAGGATCATGCAGACACATGGTGTCAAGCAATGCACGGAGATGTGCGTGCGGACATGACGCAGGGTGGAGCATGATTGCAGTCGGATAATTCGGCTGGGTCGAACTGGATAGTCTGATGGATTGACGGGGATGTTGGTCAAAGCAGAAGACGGTGTGATTTCAGCGACAACGACATAGGAGCGTGATGCTGATGGTGGCCGACTTCTGAGGCGTGGAAACACGTGGTGCAGGCCTTAGGGCTTGTCCGGCTTCGACAGACTATAGCGCGAGGTTGATTCAAGACGGTGCACACAAGAGAGCTTGAAGTCGACAGGCGCAGGGCAGCATAGCGCAGCTACATGGAGTCATGTTGAAGGTGGAGCTGGAGTCTGATGGACGACTTTCACTCTATGCTGATGGAGGGGCTACAGCGTAAGAATTCGGAGAGTCGAAGCCTATTTCAGCGGGATAGCGAGAGACGCGTGGATCGGACTGGGTACCAATGGTCTGATGGAGACGTGATACTTGGCATCGGTAGGTGATGATCGGTGGTTCTCTGCAGTGGGGGTTGAGACAGTGTGGGCTAGCTACCCGGGAGACTCGACCAGGACAGCAGAGGCTCGACGCGGTGATAGCGGCGAGGCGTGCGGTAAGCACGGGACACAGCGACAGGCCAATGCACTGGTTGTCGGACATGTGGTCAAACAAAGTGTGCAGGGGGTGCTAAAGCAGTGTTGACGAGTACCAGATTCAAGTTGGTGACTGGGTCTATCGGTGCCGGTTGATGGACAGAAGTTGACCAGAGAATCTGAGAAAGTGATGGAAAGTCTGAAGTTGTCAAAATAGAGAGAGTACATGGCCGTATATTCTGTGATGTTGGGTGCACATGGCAAAGTGCGGATGACAAGACAGAAGGAGGCGGAGTGCTATAGTTGTGGGACATGTCAAAGGGTATCCGCGAAAAAGGATGAGACAACTGCGAATTTGACTCAGGGTGACACAGGGCGACGGTGAAATTCCTTCAAATTTCAGAAAGGCGGTCAAGAAAGAGTGGTGATGTTGAGTTCGGGTAACTCTTATATGTGACGTCCAATATGCGAGTTGTTCATTTTCACGCAGCTAGTGGTCGGTGTGTGATGGCGTTGAGCGGATACTCCGGAAGTTAGGAGCACAAAGTAGAGTAATGAGAAACTTAATTCTCTGCTCGAGTGTAGACTGTGAAGATGATAAGAAGGGACTATAGTTGTAGGTGGAGTCACATGGAGTATGTGAGTAGCAGTGGTGCTCATGGCGTATCTCAAATCCAACGTACATGGAGGTTCGACGCATGGACGAATCTGAGGTGGTGAAGAATACTCGCCAAGGTGGAATTTGGTATCAGAGCTATCACTAGCATTTCGACCCACATGCATCAATCAGGCCTAACCAGAGAGCAACACCGACTTCGAAGTGAAGTTTCGCCTCTTAGTTTCTCTGCACAGAATAACACTGCATCTACCATATTAGCAGAGGTCAATATGTTGGAGCGGTGACCTCAAACGAAAGCTACAGTTCTACACATGTGACGTCGAAGCACCGTGACTCCATAGGTGTTGCACGCCTTCTGTTCGCCAAAGAAAATAAAAGGTGCGAGGTCCAATTGCTAAATTAAGCTATTCATACTATTTTGCTCATGTTGACTGTGCTGTTTTGGCTCAACATGATGCAGGCAATATTATTACGTGGAGATAGGGAAGATGGCCAAGCACACTAGCGGTCAGTGGCTAGTTTGTAACGCCCATGATGCGGCTATATCTCCCACGTGTCAAAGCATGACTTAGAGGCATAACCACATTGTAAGCAATGTCGCAAGTGGGGTAATCTTCACACAACCCATGTAATGAATAAGGAAAAGAGGTACATAGTTGGCTTACCCTCGCCACGTCACACAATAGCATAAATATCATTACATTCGTCCAGATACAATCAAGGTCTGACTACGGAACCAAGATAAAGAACAACTCCAAATGCAACAAAGTCCCCGATCGTCCCAACTGGGCACCACTACTGATTGTCTGGAAAGGAAACATAGTATCATCCTGAGTCCTCATCGAACTCCCACTTAAGCTCAGTCGAATCTCCTGGAGCGGTATCATCGGCCCCTGCATCTGGTTTTGGAAGTAATCTGTGAGTCACGGGGACCCAACAATCTCACACCCTCGCGATCAAGACTATTTAAGCTTATAGGTAGATAAAAGGTATGAGGTGGAGCTACAGCAAGCACTAGCATATATGGTGGCTAACATACGCAAAAGAGAGCGAGAAGAGAAGGCAAAGGCACGATCGATAAACTATGATCAAGAAGTGATCCTAGAACAACCTACGTTCAAGCATAACACGAGACCGTGTTCTCTTCCCGGACTCCGCCGAAAAGAGACCATCACGGCCACACACTCTGTTGATTCATTTTAATTAAGTTAAGTTTAAGGTTTTCTACAACCGGACATTAACAAATTCCCATATGCCCATAACCGTGGGCACGGCTTTCGAAAGTTTAAATCCCTGCAGGGGTGTCCCAACTTAGCCCATCACAAGCTCTCATGGTCAACGAAGGATATTCCTTCTCCCAAGACAATCCGATCAGACTCGGAATCCCGGTTACAAGACATCTCGACAATGGTAAAACAAGTCCAGCAAGACCACCCGCTGTGCCGACAAATCCCGATAGGAGCTGCACATATCTCGTCCTCAGGGCACACCGGATAAGCTAAGCGTACGAGAGCCAACGTAACCCAAGTTGCCAAGGGACGGCCCCGCACGGTGCTCTAGGTTGGACCAATACTCAGAGGAGCACTTGCCCGGGGGTTTCAAATAAAGATGACCCTTGAGTCCGTGAAACCCAAGGGAAAAGGCTAGGTGGCGAATGGTAAAACCAAGGTTGGACCATGCTGGAGGAGTTTTATTCAAGGCGAACTGTCAAGGGGTTCCCATTATAACCCAACCGTGTAAGGAACGCAAAATCAAGGAACATAACACCGGTATGACGGAAACTAGGGCGGCAAGAGTGGAACAAAACACCAGGCATAAGGCTGAGCCTTCCACTCTTTACCAAGTGTATAGATGCATTAAAATAGACAAGATAATATAATGATATCCCAACAATAAACATGTTCCAACAAGGAACAAACTCCAATCTTCACCTGCAATTAACAACACTATAAAAGGGGCTGAGCAAAGCGGTAACATAGCCAAACAACGGTTTGCTAGGACAAGGTGGGTTAGAGGTTTGACATGGCAATATGGGAGGCATGATAAGCAAGTGGTAGGTATCGAAGCATAGTCATAGCAATAGAGCGAGCATCTAGCAAGCAAAGATAGAAGTGATTTCGAGGGTATGGTCATCTTGCCTGTAAAGTTCTCCGAGTTGACGTTAGCTTGATCCTCGTAAGTGTACTCAACAGGTTCCTCGATCACGTAATCGTCTCCCGGCTCTACCCAAGCAAGAACACAAGCAAAGGGAGACACAATCAACCACGTGCAATGCACAAACAACATGATGCAAAACATGTCATGATATGCGGGATGCGATATGCGATGCATATGCATGTTTCGGAAAGGAAAGATTGCACCTGGCCTCAACTTGGAAAACCAAGAGTGCCACTTGAATGATGAGTTCATTTTGGTCGAAATCGATATAAA